AAAGTTAATAACATGTTTTAGCATCGATAAACAAATTTACTTTGAGCTTTGAACTTTAGGTTAGTTAATCTGGGCCGAGGTTTTCCTTTCATTCCAATTTGATTATTCACTTTATGACTTGCCATTTTTATTCTATTTTTATCATTATGATTATTTTTAAGCTAATTTCATCATCAATGACGTCTTATTTCTTTAAGTGTCATGTTTAATACGTTTATGCCATAAGCTGTGTTTAAACTCATTTTTTGCTATTTTTAATGTATGCTTCTAAATTTGGGATCTTAGAATAAGAAAATGGGTTCATCCTATATATATCCTAAGTAAAACATGAAGTCTCAAAGTCTTAAATTTTATTTCTCTCTTCCACACGGAACTACCGATCGATTTTAATTTCAACAAATAGTAGAGTACAATACTCAGTTGTACTTACAGCATATTATCAGCAACGGTGCAATCTTATTCTAATTTAATAGTTTTATCTAGCGTTTACAACAATTCCCTTATTCATCTAGAAAAAAAGTCTTGCAGAAACAAAAAGATGGGAAACGCAATTACGTTGGTTTGTAAGGCAAATGAGTAACAAGTCTTTCCACTCTACGGCAATTATACTAAAAGTTAGCAGCATTTCCCATAAATCACCGCTGTTAATATTTAATTTCCTTTGTCAAATTTATCCCAAATAGCCAATCAAATAACTCAGAAAGGGAACTAATAAAATAAGAGCTGCACCAATTGAGAGAATTCGGAATGCCTCGGTGCCTCTAAATTAATATACGTGATCTGGAGTTTTGATTCGGTGAGTGGGAAAGTAAGGTGTAAAGGAGAATAATGCTTTTCTCAGAGGACAAAAAAGCAGAGAGTTCATGTTAGAGGATAGGCAATGCTACCAGTGTCATCAAAAGACAAACAAGTATTAACATAGGAAAAAAATAAACATGTCCCATTTGAAGTCAACGGGTGAAAAATTTTAACATGTATTTCTACGACTATCTAAATTCAATTTTGTAAGTATGCTGTCATCATATTAAAAGGACTCATTAGTCTCTTAGGATTGAAAAATAATGTCTATTTCTATGGCTGTCTATTTTAATCAGCTTTTCATGCCATGTGATTTCTATGGCTAACTTTTCATGCCAAGTGATTTCTATGGCTAGCTTTTCATGCCAAGTGATTGATAAACAAAAAATAATTAGATAATTTACAATATTGTATTATTTTAATTTACAATATTGTATTATTTATAAAAATGGCATATAGTGATAGCATGACATGACAAACATAATTGTTTGCATTCACTTCAGTCAATCAGTCACCACCCTCAACCAGTTTCCATATCTAGAATTGCTCATGGTCAACTTTCAATTATTAATCTGGTCAGACTATGCGGACGTGCACTATACTGGCGACAAATACAAATCACTTTTAGGTCCAACAGGACAAAAATTAGACCTAGATAAACTACACGTTAATTATGCACACGATATAAATTGAGATATATAATGGGTTTATATCTAAAATTCCAATTCTACCTAATTTTCTGTGGACTTTGTAGTTTCCAAGGCAAAACTGTTTAACAGTGGTTTTCGTTTAAATACAGTTTTGGTAACTCTTACCTAACGAAAACAGTAACAAGACAATATTATCATACTTACTTCAAATATCGTTCATTCGAATAGAAACCCAAATTTCATTTTGTATGGCACTGTTCTCACAAATTCGACATTGTGTCTGTCATACAGTGTCCGGTGTGAAATTAAATATCAAATGAAATTTCAGAATGATTATGTTACATGAGTGGTACAAACAGATCGTTATATTGGAAATTGTAGAAAATAAATGAAAATTTTTAATTAAAGATGATATAAATTTAAATAAAATTCATTTTCGTTCAGCTTAACTCTACTCCTGCAGAATGTATAGGACTGAATTTGTTCATTACATATTCAATTCCGCTAAATTACAATGAACAAGGAGAGTATTAGAAAATTCTGATAGATTATGAATTTATTTTAATTATTCTGTTCAAATTGCTATGTAACCTGAGACTTAATTCTAATATATTATTTAAGATATAATTCACATAAAATACTTCAAAACGTTCGATTACAAATATCTGATCAATTTAGCATGTTTAATTTGTTTAAAATTTGCTCAAATTTGTCAAAAAGTTAAATCATTTGAACTTTAAAATGATTATTTATATTGTTAAAATGTTAATGACAACACACATCTGTCTGTTGAGGCATAATAATAGAATTTATCAATGCAAGTTTGGTAGAGCGGGACCCCATCAATATTTTAAGGGGCAAGATTTACTCAGTGAGGGGTCTTTAGCTGGTAACGGGAACGTGTAATCTGGACCCATGTATCTATTACGTGCACATGATTTAATGCTATGCTCATACAAGCGTTTAGACAGTCCATGAATAGATACAGGGGTAAAAAGGTGGGGCAAATGTCATCATGATTTGTTTGATATGAACACGCTGAAATGTGAAGCAGATTGTTTGTATTTTATTAAATTTTGAACTATCGAATAAACTTGATAATAGGATGGAAAAGAAATGAAAACAGATGCACCGATTTTGGTATTTATCCGCGCCGTTTTTATTGCCCTAATGACCCGTAAGATAATTTACCACTTGACTGGGCATTAGTGGTTAGATTTAGACACTCAATAGGCTTCATGTCAACAAGCTAATAAAGAAAACAATATTTGTAATACTCACTGTATTATTAAAGAATTCATAATTTGTATTTAAGCCTATGATAAATGGGACAATACCAGACATTGTGTTCCTACAATAAGAGCTCACAGATGCCGCGTGGAAACAAACATAATTGTACAAATCACAATTTAAGAATTATCAAAAAAGCTAATTAATCATTAAAAATGAAGAAAATAGCCGTATTTAAGAATAAAACTATTTTGATTTAATCTTCGCCTCATTTTTAATTTACCGCATGTATTAAAACTTTTTTATCAAATGTTTACTAATGCTTGGTAAAAGAAAAAATAATAAGAAAGAATAAAAACTTAAGCTAGTGATTGAGCATTATGAATGGAAGTCAAAAAACTATTTTCATTACATTTTGTCTGCCTCCTGCACAAATTCACACTTGACCCTATTTTTTCAGGGGATTGCGTCTCACAAGTTCTAACTCCATTATAACAACATTATACATGTCCGTCCTCTCTACCGAAGTAAAATATATCACTTTCTAAAGAATTATGTGCCTTTAGTCTCGTTTAGTTCCAACTGGTATTTGATACAAATTTATTTCTGTTTTGAATAGCAATTAGTGAATATTAAACAAAATAGATTTCTACAAAACGATATTATCATCGGTAAAATGATGTTCAAATTTGGAAGTGAAAAAAAATAATATTCAATACCATAAATGCAGAAGCAATAAAGCCAAAAGAAATCAATGTTATTTTCTATATTGTTGTTTTTTTTTTCTTTTAAATTGTCCTTTCTTTTTTATACATTTTCCTTATTCTTTATATCAAGTTCGATTGTACATTTTTTTATAATTCATTTATGGATAAACCTATTTAGATATATCTTATTTTAACACGAAAGTCAAAGATTCCAAAAAAAATTACTATTTAAAATGCCTGTATATATAAAGAAATATCATATATACATGTATATACAGTATCTTTGCCATACGTAAATATCTTTTAAAAAGGTATTGCCAAAGGTAACTTTGTTGCTGATTGCCACTAAAATGATACTTATATTGATTTTTTTCAGGCACGTAATGACACTGACTGAGGAAACAACTTATCTACCATCGATGCACAGCAGCAAAGGTGACATAGACCCTGACAATCATTGGGACATTAATGACAATGTCCTTCCAATGGTACGTACATAGGCTAACTTACAGATTTCTTCATATTTCGTTAATTAGTTATTGAAAAAATGTTTGAATTCAAAATTTAAAAAATGTTAATCGATAAACCATATGATTTAATTAATCTTTTTTGTTTTTAGGTTGAAAATAAATATTTAAAACACAGTCCATGACTATGGGATTAAGTTAATTTTAAAAAATAGGTTAATTTTTTACTTTAGAATAAAATAATGTTATTCGGATAGAGCTTTATGAACAATAGTGTATCCGCATCTTTTGCAGCTCTGTACAAATATTTACAAGTAGTTTGATAATTTTATTATGAATTTTTTTTAAAGCGGAAAAAAGCTTGAAAAAATTCCAGGAAGGGCCCTGACGGTAATTGCCTTTCACTTTAAAACAGTCACGAACAGAAGACCCCGGGAGGGTCATGTAAAGTGGGGGGGAAAATTTGCGTAAAAAAAACAATATAACGCTATGATTTTAAAAGGGAATCATGTTTTGGTGAACTATATGTAGCCCATGATTTTTGGGGAAAGTTTTAAAGGGGAAAAATCCCCCTTAACCAGCAATCTGTGACAAAGCTAGGAGAAAACAAATAGGTAATACTTACTCCATAGATTCGTTTATATTTTCTATCGGATTAACAAACAAATAAAGAGCACTGGTGACCTGGTTGTTATTTTTTCTGCCTTTTAATAATGACTACTGTGTTCAAGTCCTGGTACATAATACTGATTTTTACCAGAAAGTGGCCTCGAGAGAGTTTCAAAACTATACATGTATATTCTTTCTTCACATCCGATGTTAAATACATGGTAAGAGGGTATGATTTATCGAAATCATTTATTGTTCGCCTTTAAGGTCTTGCCGGGATTAATTATTTTTCGTAGCTTAAGGAATGACTATGTTGATTGTTTAAACCTCTCCTTTAATTAGTTACATTATTTACTGTTTACCTTATATATGATCTGCTTCATATCAATTTGATTTTTTTTTCAAATATATTTTATTGTTATGTAACCTGTATATGTTTACTTTTGTACTGAAATAAAATAAATATTATAGTGTGAAACTTAAATACTAGTAAGCTTTTACTTCGTCATCTTTATCCCACTTTCTATTTACCTTTTCAGGTAAAATGTGTCCTAACCCGACATGCTCCGGTGTTCTGGATCTGTTACCATGCCGGGGTCACAGCGGCTATCCAGTGACGCACTTCTGGCGTCATTACCGAGGTGCAATTTACTTCCAGGCCAAAGGTGTTCACGATCATCCAAAACCTGAACTGAAAGCTTCAGCAGAAGCGAGAAGGCACCAGAGGTCTTTAAGAAGTCAACGACTTGGAGATGTATGACGATTTGTTATCTTTATAAAGTCTTTGAATATATCTGAAATCGCCTCTTGATAAACACACTTTAGAAACTGTGGTAACTGTGGTAACAAGAATATATTTTACTTTGGGATATGATTAAGCATGACTTAAATACCTTAATTAAAAGTAAGTGACTGATACGCTAAGGTTTGGTGTAGCCAATAAGACTGCCTCTCTCCAATAGTTTTAATGTAAGACGTATATTCATTTCATCTTAAATAGTTGAAGAAAATTTTTAGTAAAATGTGTCTATATAGACAGTTTTAGTTCCACACTTATTGCGGTGAGTGATATGCCTAAATTATCAAATCTGTATAACGTACACAAAACAAAAGAGAAAACAATGATTTATCAAATAATTGATAGAAGAATGAATGAAATATTGATAGAAAAATGAAAATGAAATTTTAAATACATTTCTTTATAGTTTTATCAGGGTCTTCCTTTTTGAAATACCCTGGTTTCATGCATAGTATTCGGAGTTCACAAAAAACAACAACACATTAATTTCACAAATAAATTAAAAATGAAATGACGAAGTCAATGTAAATGCCAAATAAAATATTTAAAATAAACACACACAAAAAACTCACGATATTATATACCTCTATGCAAAAGAATAACTTTTTTTTGTAAATAAATACTTTATTTCTTTTTTTATTTCAGGACTGCAATGGAGGTAAAATGTTTCGTAAGCAAAGGGAGGGAACTGGATTATCTCCGATGAGACATCTGCTTACACCAGGTTAGTGAACTTGATAGGTTGTTCTGGCTGTTTTGATAACTTGTTTGTCAGTTGACGTCTGTCGTAATTCTTTAAATAAGTGCATATTAACTTTTGATATTGTCATTGTTTTATTAAAGGAGCTCCGCTGAAAGCCTTGAAAACATTAAACATAGATCAACTGGGATACGCTGAAAGTTAAGAAACAAATATACTTAAGATTTAAATTGAAAATCTGCTTGATTATCTAATCAATCATAATTTTGTCTCTCTTTCTAGAAAAAGACAACATGTGTTCGTGTCCGCCATTCGAGTGTACCTGCTCAAGATTATGGGGCTTCCAAGCAAGTCCAAAAGTAGCAAATTCTCCACCTTTTCCCGCCAAAAAGCTGAATTTTTATGGACCAGCCTTTTGTGAAATCCCTTCAGGATCGGGAATGCAGTCACTATCTATTGAGATTGATACTAACAAACATTTAAATCATACAAATAATTATGGGCTATTCTCGCATGATATTCAACCCAACCTACCAACACCGTTTGTGCCAAATGTTTCTCAGATGTCAAGTTTTCCAATGGTTTCTAACCAGACGTCATGCTTTGATACCCGACAATCAGACTTTTACCCGGCTCCTGCTACGGGATTTAGGGAACCAAATTATAATACTAACTACAACAGACGAAGTTGCGAGCGTGTGGATCATTCTGGTCAGGCACAACTATTTTTACCTTCAAAGCGATACAGATCAGCAATGGAATCATGTAACGTTTTTGAAAAATCTGAAAACGACATTTATTGTTCCCCGGTAAAGAGGATAAAATCCGAGAACTCTGTGACGTTACCGGATTGTACAGTTGTCCCAAACCATTCAATAAATTCAAGAAATGAAAACACAGAGGGATTATTTGACGACAGCGTTGATTTACTCAACAGTCCATTTGAGACTGAAATTTACTCTTCACTTGTACAGAGGTTTAACGATGGGACTTTAAATTCTACTCAGTCACAACCAGGTCTTACAAACATAGCCCCAACTTCATCAGTTTCGAATAATCTAGCCGAGTTGAAGACATCACAATCAGTAGATTCTAGACCTAGATCATGTCAAGATATTTTGCCCGGTTCAACTCCTAGAATTGTTGAAAACGCTTTTCGGAACTGTAACACTGAACCAATTCAATCAACAATGGAAGCGTTTTCCGGAAATGCCGGGTACTTTCCACTTCACTCTCAGTGTATGGCACAAGAAACATCAAATCAATCATGTAGTTATGATTATGACCAAAGACTTTCTCATCAACAGGCTCAAACTCAATCACAATACTGTAATCATAGTATAAATATCACTCTTCGGTACAAATAGTTTTCGAAATATTTTTCTTTTCTTTTTCCTTTTTTGTGTGTGTGGGGGAGGCATGACTAGACAAAATCATTTCTTAGATTTTGAAAAGACTGCCTTTATATGCTATTTTTAAAAAAAACGTATCGAAAGCATGACTGTCAATATCGTTCATAGATATATATAGATGTCTGAACGATCGTCTTATGACTTGTCAATATCACTTTAATGATATGAAATATATTTCTAAATGAAAGTTCTTTGTGTATAAGATATAAACTGATTTTGTAACGAAAGTTTTATGAGTACCACTAGTCTAATTTACTTTAAGATGTACATAGAATGCTAAATAAAAGTGTGACGAGCATGACCCGTCAATATCAGTCTAAGATAGATCTATATAAATTGTTTTATAAACAACAATGTCGATCAATATAACCCAAAGATATTATCTGGCTGATAGACAATCATAAAATTCAATATTTTAGATGTTATAGAGTATGAGACAAACATTTGAACAGAACCACTTTAAGATCTAGAAATGCGAAAAGGTGCATACTTGAACCCTTTCTTTGATACAATGTGCAATCCGGTTGATAATTCTTTTAAGATATTTTGTCAATAACGCTCTGTTCAAATAGATTTTTATTATTTATAACCGGAATGGATACTTTTATACCATATGTACTTTGTTCTTTGTTCTTGAAACATGTTGAATTGAAAAATCTCACTAATAAACTTTTATATATTTGCTATGATTTTATTCATGTTAGTCCCTAATATAATAATGTTATACCTATATTCATGTTAGTCGCAAATGTAATAATGTTATACCTATATTCATGTTAGTCCCCAATCCATTTATGTTATACCTATATTCCTGTTAATCCCCAATGTAATTATGTTATACCTATATTCATGTTAGTCCCCGATGTATTTAAGTTATACCTATATTCATGTTAGTACCCAATGTAATTATGTTATGCCTATTTTCATGTTAGTTCCCAATACATTTATGTTATACCTATATTCATGTTAGTCTCCGATGTAATTATGTTATACCTATATTCATGTTAGTCCCCAATACATTTATGTTATACCTATATTCATGTTAGTCCCAAATGTAATTATGTTTTACCTATATTCATGTTAGTCCCCAATACATTTATGTTATACCTATATTCATGTTAGTCCCAAATGTAATTATGTTTTACCTATATTCATGTTAGTCCCCAATACATTTATGTTATACCTATATTCATGTTAGTCCCCAATGAATTTATGTTATACTTATATTCATGCTAGTCCCCAATACAATTATGCTATACCTATATTCATGTATATCCCCAATGTATTTAAGTTATACCTATATTCATGTAAGTCCCCAATGTATTTAAGTTATACCTGTAGTCATGTTAGTCCCCAATGTATTCATGTTATACCTATATTCATGTTAGTCCCCAATGCAATTATATCATACCTATATACATATTAATCCCCAATGTAATTATGTTATACATATATTCATGTTAGTCCCCAATGTATTTAAGTTATACCTATAGTCATGTTAGTCCCCAATGTATTCATGTTATACCTATATTCATGTTAGTCCCCAATGCAATTATATCATACCTATATACATATTAATCCCCAAAGTAATTATGTTATACCTATATTCATGTTAGTCCCCAATACATTTATGTTATAACTATATTCATGTAAGTCCCCAATGTATTGAAGTTATACCTATATTCATGTTAGTCCCCAATGCGTTTATGTTATACCTAGATGCATGTTAGTTCCCAATGTATTTATGTTATACCTATATTCATGTTAGTCCCCAATGTATTTTTTTATATCTATCTAACCTTTTTTGTTTATTCTGTAAGTAATAAGATTTTGAAGAAATATGACCAAAATGTAATGTATGGTGATGTAGAAAAAAAAGTAATGTATCAAAATATCGTTAAGATATTTCGCGACGGGAGGAATAGTTTTTTTCACCTCCTACTTCAGCACGATAAAGCTTTACTTGTGTAATAAGTGATTAAAATCATACATATTTTTAACTTTATATCATAATATCAAAATAAAGGTACCACAAAAGGTTGAGAGTGTTTCTGAAGTATATCAAATATATGTACCTGTAATAAAAAAAGAAGGCATGTGGATAAAGTGGTATTATAGATGATTGTTCATAAAACATTTGACTGTGGGTTAGAGCCCTACTCGAGTCTCAACTATCTTTCCCTCCTATAACATCAATACAGAAACATTTCGGTGCGAGGCCAAATGTCATGTTTACTTCCTTCTAATCATTATTTTGCAAGGAAAAACTGTGAATGTTGTTGAGGGGGCAGGGGACCTAAGACTGAACAATTTTGTAGTTCAATGTGGCCAGAAACACAATTCCAAATATAGGCAGATAAACAGATGCACAGGATTATTCAAGGATATAATTATGACATACATTGAAAAACATAATACTTTGCAAGTATTGCTCCTAAAAATAATGGCTGACAGCAATTTATATTTATCCCCAACCAACAAAAATCAAACCTAAAATATACCTATATGGGCAATCTTCATGAAGGTGCAGCATACTGCAGAATTCGCCCGATTCCTTTAAAAATATCACTAACACACAGTGCAATCAATGGCGTTTTCAAAAATGACCAATAAAGTGTCTGTCATACGTTTAGATTTTTTGCAAAATTTATCCAAAGTTTCTTACTTGTTTGGAGCTGTCAAATCTTTATTTTTTTAAAAACTTTTTCATCTCCATTCGGAGGGTCAAAAATACATACAAAGCTACCAAAATGCTTACTTTCGGGTAAAAATCCAAAAATACTGCTCATTTTCTACACACAAACATGACAGAGAAATATCAAAAGTTTTCTGTACCTTAAAACAGCCTGTCTGAATAATGAATAAATTTTATCCAGGCCATCATTCGAACATGTCCCCTACCATTAATCATGATTTTGGTGGCCATTTTTTAGAATGCTTATTTCTAAACCTATATATATTCTAGAAAGCCTCATATGGAATAACAAATTAGGGTACTTTCGTGAAGCATTAAAATATCCATTTTGAGAGATGGCACGATTTATATGAATACTATATTAAGCTATCAAAAATAACATTATGGTCTAGATAACCATTGAAACTGGCCCACGAGCGAGACAAAAACATGCTTGGGGTAAGGAGATGGTGATGTTTTAGTTTCACTTCAAAAAGTGCTTAATATAATTCTCTAGATTGGCCAATGAGATTCTTAGATTTCAAATGAACAAGAAAAATGCTCTTCAATTATCAAATTCGTGACTTTTTTTATTAAAACACGTGTACGAGCATAGTCCAAGAGTAACAACTCATTCGAGGAGTTTCATTAAACATTGAAGAAGTAGTCTCCCATTAAAAAAACATTATTTAGTATTTGCATGATTGAACTGGGATAAAACAAGAATGATTATTATCTTCTACAAAAGAATAATTACTCACTCTACTAGTACCTTCCCTTGCCTATCAAAAGTTTGGTGTGTGTCACTAAGATTAACGATACAGATGTTCAAGTTCAAGTACTTGTCTGTTCTGATGTTAAATTAAATTTTATGTCTTTAACCTATCTTTATACCTCTTTTTTTCAAGATATATTTTTTTTCAAAACAATCCTATTGAGAACAAAACAGTTATAATATTTCTGTTGGTTCGTTTCCTCTCCTTTATGTTACAGATCCAATATGTAAGACGTATGATATATAGTCAACCGTTACAAAGGCTCAATACGACAGTGTTATTTAAATTATATCATTATTATCTTCTTCTATCATCATAATATCAATTACAATCACCAAAAACATAATTTATTCAAAAGGCGATTAAATTAAGACATGTCATCAGTTTAGCAATATCTTATATATTTTTCCATCATCATCATCATCATCATCATCAAGAAAGACCACTTTACCAAAATCTATATTCTTGCGCCCAGTTTCTATTTGATATCATGGACGACGATCATTTCTGACATCCATCACCGAGATCCATCCCCAGTGCAACATCCGTCATAACCCGGTCGTAATGTTAATGCACCAGCTGTATCGTTGTAGTCATCATTAAATCATTCAGAACAACATCAATATCAATGACGAATCAGAATCCGGATCGTGAAGATGGTACATGTTGAATTGTTTCTCATTATTTTTAAACAGTTTCAAAAGGGAAAATAAAACTTGTCAGCTTTCTATATAGTAAGTAAAAAACAGTTTTTTTATACTACATAAGGGGATATTTTTTGCAAATTTAGCCGTTAATATTGTGATATAATTTCAAGTTCCTGTGAATGTAGATTGTTGTTAAGTACAATACCGAAATTCTGTTGGACGATTAAGAAGGATAAAACTCTTGTTTCATCTAAACGAATGGACATACCAGTGACACTTATAAATTTAACAAATCAAAAATATTAAAACTGATAAGAACTTGATTTGTCATTCAGTCTGTTTCCTCAGTAAATGAAACTGACAATTAGGAAATGACATAGCAAAAAATCTTATGAGCCTTCTTGTCATTTACAATCTTTTTTCTTGATGTTGTCTGATAACTTTAAACAAAGAACCTTTAGAAGCGGTATTCTCTATGACTATTTTCAGATAAATTCGGGGAACATTATACAAACTGATATAGAAGAGCATATACTGGTTTAATTGAACCCAAAACTTATTTAAATACCCCTTTGTCAAAAAAGCAAGTAAATGAAGAAGTAACAATGTTGAACCCAGTTCAAGCACATGAACAACACCTGTACAGTATAAAGAAACTTGATAATTCCACCCGGTTCTGTCTAGATTACAGAAAAATAAATTTACTCACGGGATATCACTGATGCTTATGTTAGCATCTGATCATTCAAATATAACATTACAATTTACACAATAGATTTAGCCCCAGGATATTGGCAAAATGGACTCTGCCAGCAAATCTCTTACAGCATTTATTACACATGCAAGTCCTTTTCAATTAAGGGTCATCATGCCTTTTGGCTTATCAAATGCCCCGGTGACCTTTGGGCGCTTGATCGAAGTATTACCTTGAGAAAAAACAATTCAAAATTTAAAACAATCTTCTTGTATTTTCGTACTGCAATTTGGAACTTGAAGCCCCTTAAATAAAGATATAAAAATCAAATATCTGGGTGACCTCGTGTCTGAAGAGCCACCGCCGGGCCGGGGCAAATTCGACAATTTTACTTTTTTCCCAAAAAAACCCAAAAAAAAACATTTTAAGGGTGGGAAAATACAAAAATTTTTAAACCCGTTTGATAAATTTTCAAATTCCAAAAGGGCCCTTTAAACCCCTTTTGAAAAGTCCCTTTTGCCAAAATTTTTATAAAAAGGGTTTAATTTCTAAAGATAATTTTTTAAAAAAATATCAATTGAAATTAACAATATTTTTTAAAAATTTTGAAAATGGGGCATGGGAAAGAGCCGCATTTACGTTTAGGACAAACTTTTAGAAACATTAAAGAATTTAAATTTTTGGGTTTCCCCCAAATTAATTTAAAAATAGTTTATTACCTTTTTCCCACAATTTAAAGGTCTTGTCCAAATAAAACAGATAATGGGTAAAAACCCCCAACCCCCCAAAATTTGCCCTTTTCCTTTCATCAATCCACAATTCTTTGACCTTCCCATCCCATTCTTTATCAATTATTACAAGTGAAATATGTGTCAGTCAAAGTACTAAAGATCAGTGTCCTCTTTTGACTTTATTAACCCTTTCCCCTATGAGCATATTGTGAAAAATGGCCGTTTTCACTGAAAAGCCTCCTGTTACAAGTTCAAACTGCTATGAAACTATGAAAAATGCTTCAATACTTATCAAACTTGGCATAAATGTTGACTGGACCATTGCCTTTTTAACGACATGCTCAGTCTTAAATTTCCTGTTACCATGGCAACGAGGGGGCATCTCAAAATTGCCCAAAATCACTATTTTGCCTTGATTTTTTCCATCAAAATTTATTTCAAAGTGCTGCAACTTCTCAAGGGATTGAGATAAAGTCAAAGGCTTTTCAGCGTTGGTTACACGTTACATTATGATTGACTTGGTATCATTTTTAGTCTCTCATAAGTCCAAAATTTTCTTGGCGATGAGGGGGCCTCCGCCCCCTTCAAACCCCCCCTAACAGAAGGGGGCACATCCCCCTTCTGGCAACCCCCTAATGTATCTTTTGGATGGGGGAAGGCGCCGAAAAAGTGCTCATTTTTTTAGCAACATTTCTCAAACTAAGACATGTGTTTGGGGCCTAAATAGGACATTTTTTTCACTATTTGAGGCCTAAAAAGGGGGGGGGGGCTCGAAAGTGCGTTGTTTCGTGATATATGAGGTAAAGGGTTAACAAAAAATGATGAAAAACTTTAGAGTCACCTAACAGCTAGTTTTTTACATGTTAACATGTGGTCTTTCACCTAGTTTTGGTGAAAAATTGTTATTTTGTAACCTTTATAATTTTTTTAGTTAACCATTTCCCCCATGAGCATATTGTGAAAAATGACCGTTTTCAATGAAAAGCCTCCTGTTACAAGTTCAAACTGCTATGAAACTATGAAAAATACTTCAATACTTATCAAACTTGGCATAAATGTTGACTGGACCATTGCCTTTGTAACGACATGCTCAGTCTTAAATTTCCTGTTACCAAGGCAACGAGGGGCATCTCAAAATTGCCCAAAATCACTATTTTGCCTTGATTTTTTCCATCAAAATTTATTTCAAAGTGCTACAACTTCTCAAGGGATTGAGATAAATCAAGGCTTTTTAGCGTTGGTTACTCGTTACATTATGATCGACTTGGTATCATTTTTAGCCTCTCATAAGTCCAAAATTTTCTTGGCGATGAGGGGCCTCCGCCCCCTTCAAACCCCCCTAACAGAAGGGGGCGGAGTCCCCCTTCTGGCAACCCCCTAACGTATCTTTTGGATGGGGGTCGGCGCCGAAAAAGTGCTCATTTTTTGAGCAACATTTCTCAAACGAAAACATGTGTTTGGAGCCTAAATAGGTCATTTTTTTCACTATTTGAGGCCTAAAAAAGGGGGGGTCGGAAGTGCGTTGTTTCGCGTATATATGAGGTAAAGGGTTAAGTATGTATCCTTTTAACCTTTATAAGGTTATATCTTCAATATAACAAGAGCTGTCGAAGGATAGCAATGCTCGGCTATTCACAAGGATGATTCATTGAGTAGAAAAAGGGGCATAAATATGTAAATAAGTAAATCAGAGTTATGGGAGCTGTGCCAATCATGTTTAAAAGTCACAGTGAAAATGTATGTTAAGTTTGATTCCATTCCCTTCAGTAGTTAGGGAGATACCAGCTTACAAGCAAAAGTTAACCATGAGTTTCATTGAGTAATAAAAGGGGCATAAATTTGGAAATAAGCAAATCAGAGCTGTCCGATGACAGCATGCTCGACAATTACAACAAATATCAAAATAATGACATTGCACTCATGGAAAGGACAGGGATTGAATACAGGTCTACCTTTAGACAGACCAGCACTAACTGTGCGCTAGCCCGGCTGGTTTAGTGGAAATGCATTTTATATTTATCAGGATATTATTATGATCAGAAGTTTGAAGTACTGCAAGTGAATTTGAAATATTTATTCAAAAAGATCCAGTTATAAATGAAACAACTGGTACTTTTTATTAGTATTTATGAATATACAAAATGGAAGACTGGGTCACAATCATAAGTTACCAATAAGAATCTGAATATCATAAAAGCAATAAAACATTTGAAAAAAGCTAAAACATTTTTGAACAAAATAAACTTTCGATCAAATTTCAATGTGTAAAGGTGTCTAAAATTAAAAGATGTGAATAATTATGATAGCAAAAGTACTTCTGTACATTAATTATAAAAAGCCTCCACCTGTGAACAAAAAAAAAAATGTGTAAAAAGATTAAATTATCAGCATATCTTATTTTTATAACAAGAACTGTCGGAGGACAGTAACACTCGACTATTCGAAAATTTATCAAAAGGGTGTTTCATTGAGTATAATAATGCTTACCTATATGAATACATAACATTGTCCGAAAAGGTACAAACCCTTCAAGTTTTAATACATTCCCTTTAGTAGTTATGGAGATACAAGCTTACACACAAAAACTTAACCAAGAAAAAGGAGCATAATTATGCAAAAAAGTAAATCAGAGTTATGGGACTTGTGCCAATCATCTTAGATAATCACAGACAACAAGAGTGTGAAGTTTCAACCCATTCCCTTCAGTAGTTATTGAGATACCAGCTTACACGCAAAAACTTAACCAAAAATTTCTAAGTCAAAAAAGGGGCATAATTATGCAAAAATGCAAATCAGAGTTATGGGACTTGTGCCAATTATGTAAGATAATCACAGAGACCAAGTGTGTGAAGTTTCAATCCATTCCCTTCAGTAGTTATGGAGATACAAGCTTACACGCAACATCTTAACCAAGAATTTCAAAGTCAAAAAAGGGCATAATTATGTCAAAAAGCAAATCAGAGTTATGAAACTTATGCCAATCATCTTAGATAATCACAGAGAACAAGTGTGTGAAGTTTCAATCCATTCCCTTCAGTAGTTATGGAGATACCAGCTTACATACAAAAACTTAACCAAGAATTTCTAAGTCAAAAAAGGGGTATAATTATGTAAAAAAGCAAATCAGAGTTATGGGACTTGTGCCAATCATCTTAGATAATCACAGAGAACAAGTGTGTGAAGTTTCAATCCATTCCCTCCGGTAGTTATGGATATACCAGCTTGCATACAAAAACTTAACCACAGGGACGCCGACAAATGGGTACCTGCATTAGCTCGATTATTCTGCGAATATTCGAGCTAAAAAGGTATGCAACAAATTCCTTTTAAAATCAAGGAACAAGTCAGCAGTTTTGTAATGGGTGTGTTAGAGTTGAATGGACAATCATGTTAGAAGAGTGAAAAATATCTTTGGAAATAATAATGATTGTTCTGTAATAATTATTGCACCTTTATGTTGAAAGTTGTTTATGTTGTATAAAGTTCAAAAGGGGAGAAAAATCGGCCTAAATGCAGGACAGAATTATGGATCTTGGTCAGTGACCTACAATAATGACCCTAAAAGCACATGTGAAATTTAAAATAAATATCTTTGATAGTAATTCAGATATGTAAACCTTGCATGTAAACATTTACCAAGAGACAAAGTAGAAAAGGGAAGATAAATCAGCTTAAATGCAAGATAGAGTTACGGAACTTGGTCGTGACATACAATTATGACCCTTCATGAATATGTGAAGTTTCAAATCAACTATGATAGTTATCGAGCTATGTAAAATTTACATGATTGTAACCATAAACAAAGAGACTAAGTAAAAAAGGGGAGATAAGTCAGTCTAAATGCATGGTACAGATATGAGTGCTGTTCAGTGATCATTATTTATGACCACAAATATACATACATGTATGCAGTTTTAAGTTTGTATTTTAAATAGTATTAGAGAAAAACTATCATGTAAGACTTAACCAAGAAAAGGATACTTTTTAGTTCAAAAGGGAGCATAATTCAGTCAAAATATATGGTAGAGTAATGGGTCTAAAAATGTTACCTTCAATTATTACCTTTAGTACATGTGTAAAGATTCAAGTAAATATCTTTGATAGCTCTTAAGACCTTTATCGTTTAACCAACATTTCTAATTTTCAAAGGGGAATAATTCTGCAAATATTGCAGACAGTTACTCTATATTTAAATTATAGTAAATTTCAACTGAATATCTCTAACAATTATTGAGATATTTGACGTAACAAAAAACTTTAAACAAAATTTCTCAGTTAAAAGGGGCATAATTCTGTAAATATTGTAGGCAGAGTTATCCAACTTGTCAGTCTGATGTTCATTGTTACTATAAAAAAAGTATTGTAAATTTCAATTGAACATCTCAAGCAATAATGGATATATTTGACTTCACAAAAAACTTTAACCAAAGCAGACGTCGATCCGGACGCCGGGGCGACTGCAATTGCAACATCGCATTGAAGTAGGTCAACTGGCTGTAATTTTCCATTTAGTCTATTACCGACCTGATAGAAAAATCATTTCATTATACAATGTAATTAATTTTTACCAGTATTCTGGTAAGTTTCTGTTATCTATATGGATTGTAGTATTTTGAATCATTCTCAACTATTTATCTGAGTATGACAGGATCAAAACAGTATTATTTGGAGACAGCAAACTATTTCATTGGTGGAAATATTTTAATTGCATATCTAGATGTCAATAGAAAAAAGAAAAAGAAATAATACAAACATTATTATATCGCATTTATTTTAACATTTATTTTCTAAAGTAATATATCTATGTCACGGGGTTTTGAGATCATGAAAAATAAGACTGTCTTATTCAAATGTTATCTGGTGAAACTGAAAATTATGAAACCACCATCTATGATCTGAAGATTTGCAGCAATGCATGGCGAATCTAGGCAAGTGGTAACATGATATTTGTAAACGTGTCCTCGCATGCCGCTGAAACCACGTGACATCTCCCCATCACTTTTTGCACGAGCAGTCGTTGCCACATCCGCATGTGCCTTCCCCAGTACAACCTTTCCCACATGCACATGAACCTGAAAACATGCAAGATAAACCGTGGCGATCAAATAATCTAAATTACTAATGAGATAAAAGTGTTGTTTATGTAGATCTGTAACACTGATGTAAGTAAGTTCAACCTTTTGATAACAGAACACGAATAATTATACATGATTAATGTTAAAACGTGATAACGGAAGGTAACTGCCCTAATAAAAATATCGAAAAAAGATAAACATTAAACATGTATCCCAAAAGTTCATTTTTTACATACCACTGCACTTGCAGGTGATGACTTTACATCCGGGACAGCTGCAATCGGAGCCACATTTGCAGTTAGGACCACATATGCAGCCGTCTGCGCTCGTACATTGGTCGGAACACTTGCAAGTTCCAGCTGTAATAAAAATCGTATCATATAATTATATATAACTATTTAGATATATATGTGTATGTATATATATGTAGCAGTAAGTAAATAGCCCAGTGATCATAGGGTATTAAGTTTTAGCCATACTCGCCAGTCTTTTTTCTCTTATGGCAATAGAACTAGCCTCTGACAAGAACAAACTTTTTTTTCTGAATAATGAAATCTCTGGATTTTCATTGGTCAATGAACATTATGGACAGGTTTCCGATCTATATCAAATACTCGAGATCGGAGTTGGAGCTTAGAAAATCTTTAAAACTCAGATAGGTTCAGGAGAAGAGTAAGTTATTTATATAAAGTACAAGAACGTCATTCCCTATCTAAGCTTTACAAAAACCGGTTTAACAGGGTGATGCTGCCCCGAGAGGTTTTGGACCCAGGAAAGTTTAAAAAAATTAACAAAGGGCAAAAACTCCAAAATTAGGCAAGGCTGAGTAATGTTTTTTTGCACTGCACTTTTTTTCAATGAGATCTATCTATCTTTAAAGTTTCCTGATGATATCTCTTATAGTTTCAATGTTATGTACCGGAAAAAATTAAAGTGTAATAATAAACAAAGGGCAATAATTCCAAATTAGGTTCTTAAAGCATTGCAGTTCTATTCAATGATATCTAGCTATCTACAAAGTTTCATGTTGATATAACTAATAGTTTTAGACTTATGTCCCAGACAAAAGTCAAAAGGTCAAAATAAACAAAGGGCAATAACTTCAAAATAAGGCAAGACAAAGTAATTATTCTTTAGCACTGAACGTCTACCCAATGAGACCTATTTATCTACAATGTTCATGCTGATATATTTTAGAGTAATGTACTGGACAATGTTCAAAGTGTCAAAATAAACAAAGGGCAATAACTCCAAATGAAGGCAAGACAGTGTTGTAATTCTTGTGTTCTGCAAACCTACTTAATGAGATATATCTAACTATAAAGTTTCATGTCGATATGCCTTATAGTTTTAGACTAATGTCCTGGACAAAGTTCAAAGTGTGAAAATAAACAAAGGGGAATAATTAAAAAGATAGGCAAGGCAAAGGTTTTTGAGCACTGCACACCAACTCGTTGAGATATATCTACCTACAAAGTTTCTTCTTGATATCTGTTATACTTTTAGAGTTATGTCCCAGACAAAGTTCAAATGTAAAAATAAACAATTGGGAATAGTTCAAAAATTAGGCAAGTTAGAGTTACGGTTCAGGTACACTGCACACTTTCTCACAAAGTTTCATGTTGATACCTCTTATACTTTTAGAGTTATGTCCTGGACAAAATTCAAAGTGTAAAAATAAACAAAGGGGAATAATTTAAAAATTCGGCAAGGCAAAGTTACGGTTCTTGTGCACTGCATACACTATTAATTAGATTTATCTACCTACAAAGTTTCATATTCACACCTCTTGTTGTTTCAAAGTTGCTCCCGGACAAAAAAAGCGGACGGACGGACGGACGGACAACGCGGCGAAAATTCGGGGAGCATGGAAATTAAAGATATTTAGACTCTGACTATACAATCAAAGCACAGAAGTGTCTGACGACGCAAACAAATAAAAACAAAATCGGTTTATAATCTCAAAACCTTCACCTTTCTGACATTCTGAGGCCCAAACAAATTCAGCGCCTTCTTTGCTTTGATTTATTTTCCCACACACACAGACATAATATTGTTTATATCATAATAAAGGTATAAGATAAATCAGAATTAAAAAAAAAATAAACATTGGAAAGCTTGCTTATAATAGTAGCGTAAATCAAATCATCAAAATAAGAATTTGGCTTTTGATCCGAAAACCCCACTGTATAGAACTGTAATAAACTATCTTTGTTTTAAAGCGTTAATATTTAAAATAATAAAATACATGACTTGTGCCATATATCATTTATGTAAGGAGTTTTCACGCATGAAAAAAAAACACCATTTACAAAAAACAGCGCGGGAAATTTATGACCCCAAAGGTTAATAGACGGATAAAATTTGAATACCTGTTATTCAACATGTTTTAATTACACAGTAAAGTTACGCTGGGGGGTAAGTAGGTAATTTATATTTCATTGATATGTCAACATGGCAAGATCACATAACGTCGTAATGGAAATAAAATCTAGTCAAATTTCATTCATTTATCAATCTCATTTTCACCTTTTAAATATTTTTTAAAGTTGAATTCACAATAGAATCTACTTCTTTTAACGCAAACTTTCTCACATAGCGAAATTCTTAACAGCATTTGACATGACATTATAATTGAATCCAAGGTAAAAATTATGTAAAAGTTATAAACTAAAAAAACCCTCAAAATTTCAGCATGCAGGATGTGTTCTACCCCAGTAAATTAACAAATTGACATCCCCGTGATACTAAATAATAAAAATAGCAATCTTAGCAAGGTTGAAAATTTATATTCGACATCAGGCTCACTGTTATTTGAATAATTCTTTAAATAACACATATTCATTGCATAAAATATTTTCACGAAAAAAGATCAGTGTCTGTTTGATAAAACTAAATCAAAACTTTATTCCATTGTTATATTTTTATATTCAACAATTACATTAAACATTTAAGACATTAAGGGTGGTAAGTGTTAAAGGGACTCCACCGAGGTTTTTTGACATGACGGGACTGGAAATTTTTTTTTTGAGATTATTACTCCATTTGATGTAGATCTTTACTAATAACTTATCTGCAAAATTTCAGATCATAAGCTCGCTCCGTTTTTCCAGAATAATTATTTTAATAGTGAAAAAAAAAAAAAAAAAGAACCAAAATTGAAAAGCGTTTAAACGATTTTTAATTAAATCGGACTGAGAATAGAAGAAACTTATGATTTTCAATGTATTTCTTATCTATAATTCTGTTTTAAGTGCTCATGTTAGTATATGTGAAGAATAAAATGTTATGTTTTTAAGCTTATAAACCTCAGCGGAGTTCCTTTAAAAGAACTCACTTTTTAATATCATAATAAACATAATTTAAATAGAAGATAATTATTAACAAATCTAAAAATACTAGAATTTGATAAAGATCGGACTGTATTATTAACATGTTACAATACACGGAATTTATAGCTGTTTTTTTTCTGAATAGAGCAAATAATTAAGAATCCCTAAAGAAAGCACAACACGGCAAAATTGAAAATGTTGCAGGCTCGGTTTGATTGATCCCGTTCATGGACGGTACTGTAAAGTGCAAACTACCGTCCACGCCCCCTAGCACCGGCTTAAGCAGAATTCAACATTTAAACATGAAATGGTAAAATTTTGAATTAAGAAACATCCGCAGATGTGTTCATACGGCGGTTATCATGGAACCTTCAATATGACACAGCTAGTAGTGCCATTCCATGAAAAGCGGCGTATGGTCCCCAGGTAATAAAAAGTAATAAAAACTTCACAAAAAATCTCTCGGTTTTGGATCTAGTCTACGTGCGTTTCAGCCTACATATGTTTCAATTCGATTAAGGAACAGACGATTAAATAAAGTACATTTACTTAAATGTTTACCTGTCAAATAAACCATAAAATTAAATGAAATAAATTGTAGCATGTAAACGCCCTCATTAGATTCTAAAACTTGAAACTTTTTCTACTTTACTGTACTAATTCTAATTATAAATCAGTAGTAGATTTATATTACAAAAATGATATCTATAGGCCCATATGTTATTTTAGTTTTGCAGAACATTTGAATTTCCAAGCGAAGACTTACTATGTTTCCAGCAAATATTTTTTTTTAATTGCAAAATGTTTCATATAGATATTGCATCTGATGAGAATTCGATAGATTTAGATATACTTATTAATTATTCCTTTAAAAGTTGATAAAATAACGCAAAAATGTAAACAGTAACCATGATCTGTGAAAAAAAAAATATATTTCACTTACATTTAGCACAGTTGCAAGGATCACCCATCTTGTTTTTAGTCAGTTTGTTTAGTTCAGCTTCAAAATTTTTCCCAGTTGTATACGCCGATGTCTTCGCCTTGAATGAATACAACCAGTCAACCACGTGACCTTCTGTTTACATTTTTGCACACTGCGAGAAAGAGCTGTGTGCAAAATCGATTAACACCTTGTACAATGTGCCTATACCGTACTATATATAATCCATTGTGGCTAGTAACAAAAATATTAAGTCGGTCATGGTCATATTTACTACCTGTTTATCCTGCTAATACGGTAAGGTTTATGTTAACAAAATGGAGATATCGGCGCAACATAACCATACTGATATCAACTTTAAAACATAGTGAAAAAATTTATTAAATTTTTTTAAAAGAAGATAAAATATTTTAAAAGTAAAAAATTTTATTGCAAGGCCCAAAAACTTTGCAAAATTTGTTTTCCCACCCTTTGATTTTTTAAATTATCTTTAGAGACAGAATGGTTTTTTGTCATCATCAGTCAGTAACCACATCTTTAGCCTTTATCAGAACCTCATCGAACATTTTTGAAAAAAAATTTGAAGGAATTGGAATATTTTTATTTTTGAATTTTCAAACTGAAAAACTTTGAATCAAATTTACATTAATTTTTTTTTTTTTAACAAAAACTTTTAAAAAATTTTTTAAAAGTTTTAATGCCCTTTCCAAAGCATGAACTTTAGGGGTTCTTGAGGGGTTTTTTTTTTAAATTTTAAAATTTTTAAAAAAAAAAATTTGAAATTTTTTAAATTTACAAAAAAAATGATAAAAATTTAAGAAAACCAAACAGGAGACGATTCATAGTTTTTAAATCAAAAAAATTTTTTAAACTTAGCTTTTTTTTAAATATATACCAAACACAGTTTTTGGTTTTTTCCTTTTTTTCGAAATAAAAAGGGTTTAATTTTTATTTAAAAATGATGATAATAAAAAGAAAGAAAAATATCAAAAAAAAGTAAGTAAAGGGCCTTTCCTTTTAAAAGTTTCGTCAAGATCGAAAAGGGTCTATATCTTTTTCGTTTAGGGAAAACTTGAATTTACTTTTGAAAAAATTTGGGTTAAACGTATGCTGGGGGCAGCCGTCTTGCACTTTTTCAAAACTTAAAACATACGCCCAAGGTTTCGGGTTTAAAAGGTTTGTGTTTAAAATTATATTATGAAAATTTATTTTTAATATTTTGGTTAATTGGAATTGGTCTAAATAACATAAAAAATTAAGTTGATAACAAAATTGTTTTTAATTCCAACCCTTTTACAACCCAAATTTGGCAAAACGGGGTTTCCAAACGTCAAAAACTTTTACCAGTAGATCCCATGCCCGGCGCGAAAAAAATTTTGACGGACGGAAAGGGTTTTTCATGCTATTTTTAACATACCCCAAACTGTTTTGAGAAAATTTTCAATTTATGGATTCATAGACACCAAAGGCAAAACCTAAAAATTTTCGGGCCCTTTGTGCAAGCTTTACCTCACGTGAATTTTGACTGAAAGTAACAACTTTTCCCCGGCCCCTGGGGAACGGCATTTTTTTTTAAAAATCACAAAAATTGCTTTTTAAAAAGAAAAAAAACCCTTTTTAATCACTTTCGAAAAACCTTTTAAACCCCTTTCCCCTTTAAAAATAGCCAAATTTTTCCCAATTTTAAAAAATCCCTTTTCTGTAAAATTTTAAGGGTATGAATTTTGAGGGGTAAATAAAAAATTAAAAACCCCAAATCAGCCGTTCACCTCTTTAAAAAAAAACCCTTCCTTCCCTTTGCTTTTTGGATTTTTTTTTTTAAACTCTTTTTTAAAAAAAAACTTAATCCTGTTTTTTGAATAAAAAAATCCCAATACTAGTGTCGGGATATATACCAATAAAAGGGGCTAAGAAAAAACTTTTTTTAGAAAAATATTTTGTATCAGTCCCTTTTTGGTTTTTATTATCTTTTTTGAAAATTTTAATTGGGGTTTTTTTTTTTTAATTTAAAAATGAAAAAAAAAACCCCTTCTCAAAAAACCCTCAAAAATTTTTTGCTGTGGAAAGTAAAAATTTTAAAAAAAAAAAGGTTCCCCCAAAAATTTTTTAAAGAAAAAAATTTTTGTTTTCGTTTTAAAAGGCAGTTGAAAATTTTCAAACAAATTTTTCCTTTCCCCTTCTTTTATTTAAAATAGTATCGATGATTTTCTGATAAAGGCAAAGATGGGGGTTGACGGGAATAAAAAAAACCCCATTCGTCGGTTAATGCATAATGAAAATATCAAAGAAAAAAAAACAAATCTGCAGGGTTTTAAACATTGGCAATAAATTTTAAAATACCATAAGATTTTTGACTATTTAAAAAATTTCCCAAAAAAAATTATTCACATTTTTAAAGTTGAAAATAAGTTTTTGGTTTTATGTTGGGGCCGATAATCCCCCATTTTTTTTTTAACTTTAAATTTAAACCGTTTTAAAAGGAGGAAAACCCAGTATTAAATAGGGCCAAAAAGATTAATATTTTCTTTACGACCACGAGGGATTTAAATATAGAAACGGTATAGGCCACTTTGTAAAAGGTGTAAATCGATTTTGCACACCAGCTTTTTCCCCGGGAAAAAATGAAAAAAGGCATCACGGGGTTTGACAAAATTTGAAATTAAATTCAAGGCGAAGCCCAACGGCGTAAAAAATTTGGGGGAAAAAATTTTAAAAAGCTGAATTTAAAAAAAAACGACTAAAAAACAAAAATGGGTGACCTTTGGCAACTGTGTTTAAAGTGTAAGTGAAAAAATTTTTTTTTTTTCCCCAATCTGGTTACTGTTTACTTTTTTTGCGTTTTTTTTCAATTTTAAAAGGGAAAATTTAAATAAGTATTCAAAATCATCAAATTTTCTCACATATGCAACATCAAATTTTGAAAAACATTTTCCCAATTTTTAAAAAAAAATTTTTGCGGGGAAACAAGTAAGTCTTAGTTTGGAATTTTAAATTTACTGCAAAAATAAAATAACATATAGGCCTATATCATTTTTGTAATATATATCTAATACTGATTTATAATTAGAATTAATAAAGTAGAAAAGTTTCCAGTTTTAATTTCTAATGAGGGCGTATACAGGCTACAATGTATTTCATTTCATTTTATGATTTATTTGACAGGTAAACATTTCAGTAAATGTACTTTATTTAACTGTCTTTTCCTTGTTTGAATTGAAACAAATGTACGCTGAAACGCACGTAGATCCAAAACGGAGAGATTTTTTGTAATTTTCAGAAAAAACAGTTATAAATTTCCGTGTATTGTAACATGTTAATTTTATACAGTATCGATCTTTTTCAAATTCTAGTATTTTTAGATTTGTTAATACATGTAATTATCTTCTACTTGAATGATGTTTATTATGATATTAAAAAGTGAGTTCTTTTAAAGGAACTCCGCTGAGGTTTATAAGCTTAAAAACATAACATTTTAATTTTTCATATAAATAAACATGAGCACTTTAAAAATATAAAAAAGAAATACATAGAAAATCGTAAGTTTATGCTATTCTCATTCCAATTTGATTGAAAAGCGTTTAAATGCTTTTCAATTTTGAATCGTTTTTCACTATTATAATAATTATTCTGGAAAAACGAGCGAGCTAATGATCTGACATTTTGCACATATGTTATTACTAAAGATCTACATCAAATGAAGTAATAATCTCAAAAAATATTTCCAGTCCCGTCATGTCAAAAAACCTCGGTGGAGTCCCTTTAACTGTTTAACACTTACCACCCTTAATGTCTTAAATGTTTAATGCAATTGTTGAATATAAAAATATAACAATGGAATAAAATTTTGATTTAGTTTTATCAAACAGACACTGATCTTTTTTCGTGAAAATATTTTATGCAATGAATATGTGTCATTTAAAGAATTATTCAAATAACAGTGAGCCTGATGTCGAATATAAATTCTCAACCTTCATGTTAAGATTGCTATTTCTATTATTTAGTATCACGGGGATGTCAATTTGTTAATTTACTGGGGTAGGACACATCCTGCATGCTGAAATTTTGAGGTTTTTTTTAGTTTATAACTTTTACATATTTTTTACCTTGAATTCAGTTATAATGTCATGTCAAATGCTGTTAAGAATTTCGCTTTGTGAGAAAGCTTGCGTAAAAAGGAAGTAGACTCTATTATGAATTCAACTTTAAAAAAAAATTATTTAAAAGGTGAAAATAGATTGATAAATGAATGAAATTTGCTAGGTTTTTATTTCCAATACGACGTTATGTGATCTTGCCATGTTGACATATCAATGAAATATAAATTACCTACTTACCTTCCAGCGTTACTTTACTGTGAAAATAAAACATGTTGAATCACAGGTATTCAAATTTTATCTATCAACCCTTGGGGCAATACATTTACAGTGCTGTTTTTTGTTGTTTTTTATGGTGTTTTTTTCTTTTCGCGCGTGAAAACTCCTTACAGAAATGATATATGGCACAAATCATGAATTTTATTATTTTAAATATTAACGCTTTAAAACAAAGATAGTTTATTACACTTCTATACAGTGGGGATTTCGGTTCAATAGTCAAATTCTTATTTTGATGCTTTGATTTACGCTACTTTTATTTGCAAGCTATCCAATGTTTATTTTTTTTAATTCTGATTTATATTATACCTTTATTTTATAAACAAAATTAGGTCTGTGTGTGGGGGGAAAAATAAATCAAAGGACAGAAGGCGCTGAACTTGTTTGGGTCTCAGAATGTCAGAAAGGTGAAGGTTGTGAGATTATAAACCAATTTGTTTTTATTTGTTTGGGTCGTCAGACCAAACAAATAATGGTAGCGAAATTTCAGAGCCTAATGCTGTTAATTGCAGATGCCTAAAGTAGTCCACTTTTTATGCTCCCTGAATTTTTCGCCGCTTTGACGTCCGTCTGTCTGTCCGTCCGTCTGCTTTCTTGTCCGGGACATAACTTTGAAACAACCACAGATATGAACATGAAACTTTGTAGGTAGATAGATCACATTGAAAGGGTGTGCATTGCACAAGAACCGTAACTCTGCCTTGCCGAATTTTTGAATTAATCCCCTTTGTTTATTTTTACACTTCGAATTTTGTCCGGGACATAACTCTAAAACTATAAGAGGTATCAACATGAACTTTTGTAGGTAGATAGATCTCATTGAGTAGGAGTGTAATGCACAAGAACCATAACTCTCCTTCCTAGGTATGCAGTGCACAAGAACTGTAACTCTGCCTTGCTTAATTTTTGAATTATTCCCCTTTGTTCATATTTACATTTTGGACTTTGTCCGGGACATAACTCTAAAAGTATAATAGATATCAACATGAAACTTTGTAGGTGGATAGATCTCATTAAGTAGGTTTGCAAAACAAAAGAATTGTAACACTGTCTTGCCTACTTTTGGAGTTATTGCCCTTTGTTCATTTTGACACTTTGAACCTTGTCCGGGACATTACTCAAAAATATATCAACATGAACTTTGTAGATAGATAGGTCTCATTGGGTAGAAGTGCAGTGCTAAAGAATCATTACTCTGCCTTGCCTTATTTTGAAGTTTTGAAGTTATTGTCCTTTGTTTATTTTGACTTTTTGACTTTTATCTGGGACATAAGTCTAAAACTATTTGATATATCAACATGAAACTTTGTAGATAAAAAGATATCATTGGATAGAACTGCAATGCTTAAAGAACCTAAACAATGCTTTGTCTAATTTTGGAGTTATTGCCCTTTGTTCATTATTACACTTTAATTTCTTCCGGTACATAACATTGAAACTATAAGAGATATCATCAGGAAATTTAAAGATAGATAGATCTCATTGAATAGAAGTGCAGTGCAAAAGAAATAAATTACTCAGCCTTGCCTAATTTTGGAGTTTTTTTTGTACTCAGATCTCGAGTATTTGATATAGATCGGAAACCTGTCCATATTGTTCATTGACCAATGAAAATCCAGAGATTTCAGATAGTATTCAGAAAAAGTTTATGTACTTGTCAGAGGCTAGTTCTATTGCCTTAGAGAAAGGACTGGCGAGTATGGCTCAAACTTAAGATCGAGAAATAGTTGATAAGCGGATGTAGATCACTGGGCTATTTACTAACGGCTACATATATATACATACACATATATCTAAATAATTGAAATATCTTCATTTGATACAATTTTTATTACAGCTGGAACTTGCAAGTGTTCCGACCAATGTACGAGCGCAGACGGCTGCATATGTGGTCCTAACTGCAAATGTGGCTCCGATTGCAGCTGTCCCGGATGTAAAGTCATCACCTGCAAGTGCAGTGGTATGTAAAAAATTTGAACTTTTGAGATACATGTTTAATGTTTATCTTTTTTCGATATTTTTATTAGGGAAGTTACCTTCCGTTATCACGTTTTAACATTAATCGTGTATAATTAATCGTTTTCTGTTATCAATAGGTTGAACTTACTTACATCAGTGTTACAGATCTACATAAACAACACTTTTATCTCATTAGTAATTTAGATTATTTGAGCGCCACGATTTAACTTGCATGTTTCCAGGTTCATGTGCATGTGGGAAAGGTTGTACTGGGGAAGGCACATGCGGATGTGGCAACGACTGCTCGTGCAAAAAGTGATGGGGAGATGTCACGTGGTTTCAGCGGCATGCGAGGACACGTTTACAAATATCATGTTACCACTTGCCTAGATTCGCCATGCATTGCTGCAAATCTTCAGATCAGAGATGGTGGTTTCATAATTTTCAGTTTCACCAGATAACATTTGAATAAGACAGTCTTATTTTTCATGATCTCAAAACCCCGTGACATAGATATATTACTTTAGAAAATAAATGTTAAAATAAATGCGAAATGATAATGTTTGTATTGTTTCTTTTTCTTTTTCTATTGCCATCTTGATATGAAATTAAAGTAGTTCCACCAATGAAATAGTTTGCTGTCTCCAAATGATACTGTTTTGATCCTGTCATACTCAGATAAATAGTTGAGAATAATTCAAAATACTACAATCCTTATAAACAACAGAAACTTAAACTTGCTATTTCCAGTGACATCACTCACGAGGACAAGTCCGCTCCAACTTGACCTTTCTGATAAAGGTAACTTAACTTCCTGATTAGGTTTAAAGGCCTCAACAGACGGTAGGATTTAGCTGTACAGCACTAATTAGAGATAAGATGTACTATTTTCGAACTATACAACACTTGCATTCAGACGGTAATTCTACACTGTAAGAATCATCTGAGGTTTCCCCTTAACAAGATACCTTTATATTGATACTTTACAATACTTTACTTACTAAATACTTTTATCGTCATGAGTAATGATTGAAACACCATTTATATAGAGGATATTTGTTTGTTTTGCATGTAAGATTGGAATAATTATAATTTCACTGAGTGAACACCAGATGCAATATTTTCACGAGTGGCGTATCCACGAGTGAAAATATAAAAGCTGGCGTTCACGAATGAAATATATTTCAATCTTATATGTAAAACAAATAAATTTTCTTTTTATTTCATGCTTTTTAAGTGATTTTAAGTATTTTTTACTGATTTTGCCGCGTATGTCGCGCATTCTCCTTCGTGACGTCAACACATCATGACGTCACATTTTCAAGTTTGAAAAATAGTTCTGTTAAATTTCTCTAATTTTGTTACATTTTTAATATATAGAGGATATTTGTTTAGTTCAGTGTAAGATCGGAATATATTTCACCGAGTGAGCACCAAAAGGTATATTTCACGAGTGGCGCAGCCACGAGTGAAATATGAACTTTTGGTGTTCACAAGGTGAAATATATTTCGATATTACACTAAACTTAACAAATTTTCTTTTTATTATATGCAAATAAACGTTTTAAAAAGACATTAAACCTAATACTGAATGAAAAGCGCGCCAAATAATAATACAACGTGACGTCATTTACGACGTCACGTCATTAAGTTGGTACCCAGTACTGTGCACGCTGGTATTTCACTGAAACAACGTAAGGGGCTTAAATTCAAAACAGTGAAATTATCAAAGTGGTAATTTCACTGTTTCAAACAGTGAAATTACCAGTTTTATATCACTGATATATTTCTATAAACCACCGAAAAGCATGTAATAAAATGTACAAGTTGGATAACTCTGCCTACAATATTTACAGAATCATTATAATTAATTATTATCAGTAGACTATTCTACATTTCCGTGGCTGTATTTGTCTATCGACCATAAATATTTTCAATAAGCATGGCGCATGTCCTGAATTATTTCGGTTGTCTCCGTGAGGAAAATCCGTCACGCAGGCGCACTTGAAGTTTATATACCAATTAAGGAGTCTGCCGCCCATGGACCATCTTTTTTTAATGCGTCTATTTAAGGTCGCCGCCGGAAAGCCCATATGGTCGACCATACGCTCTTAAAGTCAGGCCATCTTAGAGCGTCCCGCCGAGATATTTTCGTGTTTTTTTTTTCCATCTTGGAAGACCCCAGTTGCCCCTCCGGACATTATTTCAGGCACGAGCGGGCACCTGGGTAGAATCACAGGTTATCGGCGTAGGACCAAGCCCTATCCCCAAGGTACCACCCCCCAGGACCCATTATATACTACCCAAAAATACTTCAAAACATTAAAAAAACATGTCAATACAAAATCAAACAATTCCATCAAAAAATAATACTGATACTATAAACTATGTAGTTTACATAGTTTATAGTATCAGTATTATATTTTTTGATAAAATTGTAGTTTACATAGTTTATAGGATTGATCAGTATTATATTTTTTGATAAAATTGTTTGATTTTGTACATATTGACATGTATTTTGAATGATTGGGTAATATAGTGGGTCCTAGGGGTGGTACCTTGGGGTAGGGCTTGGTCCCACGCCGATAACCTGTGGGTAGAATCACCGACCTTCCTTAAGTCAGGTGGATGGCTTCCTCACTTGAAAGATTTCGACTCGAGTGAGGATCGAACCTACAGCGGTGCGCCTGCGTGACGGATTTTACCGGACAGGCGCCATATTGAAAATAAAATGGTCGATGAGGCAGCAATGCAGAGAAATACAGAGCTGTAAGCCTATCCACGGAAATGTTGAATACTGGTGAAAATTATTTATAATGGAATGATTTTTCTATCAGATCGGTAATAGACTAATTGGAAAGTAACACTCAGTTGACCTACTTCAATACGATGTTTTTCGGTAGATTCCACAGGCGCTAGTCACATAATCAAATATTTTACATTATCGGTCTATATATATCTTTATATACATATATAGACCGATTATGTAAACTATTTGATTATGTGACAAGCGCCTGTGGTAGATTCTAAGTAAAATCAAAGGGCTGCAAGCTCTGTGGTATTCACGAATTCGAAAACCTAGCTAAACGCCGTTTTCCGGTACTTTCTGTACATAGCTCTGGGGAATTCACCTAATGGAGTGTGCTAGTGAACTCAATGTTTTCGGCCTTTTTTTGAATTAAACTGAAATAAAACAGTTATTTCTTTATAAGAAAATAATTAAATATCATTGTATGAATAATTTCATACAAAAAATAAAGTAAATACACAAATTTACGCAGAAAATAACCTTCTTTATTATGGAAGATTCCACTACGTCTTTTTGAATTTTATTGATGTTCATTATTAACAACTTTTTTTTTTGAATAATTTGCAATAGGAATGAAACGAATATTGATAATTTTCAAAAACATCAAATTTTTTCACCTGAAACGGTTAAATAATGATAGAAAAATAGACATATCTCGTAACTGTGTTATGTACTTCATTTGGTGTAATTCCCCAGAGCTAAAACGGTAACATACCGGAAAACAGTGTTTAGCTAGGTTTTCGAAAAGGTCAATTTTCTGATCTTTGCAATCTAAATCGTACTGTATATCTGTATGTGTTTTCCTGTATAAGTTTATTTTTATGTACTATAATACACCGATAAACACTTTCAGAACTAGCAGATGACAGGCTAATCTTATCAGTAGTATTTGAGTAAAGATAACGGGTTGTGTATCTCACTGTATAAATCATATGTAAAATGGTCTGACATATGGTAGGTTTAACCACGGATTTATATTACATATATAAAAAATTATGTAATATAAATCTGTGGTTTAACAGTTAATGAAAATACTTTGAAGGCCAAAGATGTGTTGAATTTCATACTGTGATGAAGCTAAGATCCAATGCTTTCTATTGGTGTAATACTGTTACATTTTAAAATTGGACATTTAATCACAACAAACCAGCGGTTTAAAAACAGCATATTTTGTATTGTTTTAACATGAGCGATACCGATTTTACTTGAGGATAAGGGAAGCAACTCGTATTTTTTTTACTCGATACACCTCGGTTATTTACGTAGAACATATTGAAAGTGTTTATGGGTGTATTCATCTTGCAGGGCACCAGAGTTTGATACATACGGAATTTGCATAACTAGAGTTGCATCAAAAAATCATTCATGTTCATTTTTTATGATAGCCACACTTATCCTTGCATATCGTGGCTATTGCCTTAATGCAGACACTTAACAAAGAATTTTAAAAAATGTTGACTCGACTGGGATTTGAACTCCAGACCTCTCACACACTAAACGAGCACGTTACCCCTGCGCCACGGAGAAGTTTTAAAAACAAGGGCTGAATAAAGTCAAGTCATTCTAAATTGCATTTCGGGTTTTTAAAGCTGCACAGGCTGAATAAAATCAAGTCCTTCCTAATTAAAATTTCCATTGCATTTCGGGTTAGGGTAATGTCGAGGTATTTTGTTCAGGGTAAACCTGTTGTTTAAAATTGAAATAAATAATTTAGCAAAAATCTTCGCGCCCAATCAGTCCAACATGTAGAAACTATATATTCAACTACTCGGCAGTCAGATTTATTTGTGTAGTATTCGGTAATCGACATCGCTAAAAATAGCATTATCATTGATTAAAATCATATTCATCCGCATAATTTGTAAGTGTACATTTATTGACAATTCTATAAGCCAACGCTACTTTTAAAGTTTGAATGTGTAGTATTTTTTTGGACACTTGTAACAAAAAATTGTTCTTTCTTTTAAATTGCTGGTTTTTAAACAGTTTTGAGTGAGAACTACTTTGCGTTGTTAGGTCTGTAAGGAAGTTTTGTGTTAGACAGTGGATGTTAGCTATGTATTTACTGATCTGCGATCAGAAAATACAAAAATGCAGATAATCATCATGATCACATGCAGGTTAAAGTTTTGGTCACCTCATTAAATGAAGAGCATATTTATAAATAGGATTTATAAATTGTTCCCCTTTTATGAGTAATATGAAATTAGGCAAAGCCTATGAACTGGGAAGTCGGTAAAAAATCCTTTCATTTTTTTCGGTTTTAAAGGTGTCATTCGGCGGTCAGTCTATTTACCCCAAGACACCCCAAGACGCATTCTGGGACACAAAGATACACATTTTTAGTCCCCGGAGGACTACCCCAAGAAACTTATATATTGTGTATAATGAGAAAGTGTTTTTATATACGAAAAATGATTATTTACGTGTCATGTAGTCAAATTAATATCAAATATTGTTATTGTCCAACAATATTGACCTGGCACTTCATTTATTTTCGTAAAGGTTAGGTGATAAACAGTTGTATCTAACGAATCAATCGATATCTTGGTTAACTTCATATATCAATGAGTTGTGGTGTATTGGTATAGATGCCTGACTACTGATCTGAAGTTATCTGCTTCGATACCTTACCAACACCATGTTATGAGGATATGAATTTTTTATTTTATTTTGAAATTTACTTGCAAGAATTAATTTGAAATCGTTTTAATACATCTGGTTTTTAAGATATCTTTTAAGTAGTATTTTTTAT